GGAAGTGCGAAGTGGGGGAGTCTCGGAACGACCGACACAACCGGCTGCGGGACTGGCACTCCAAGCGACACTCGGCGCTCACTGGATACGCTGCCCCCACCGAGCAACGCGTGCCCGGGTGGGATCGTCGCCTCCCCAATGGCCGCCTCGAAGAGGCCAAGCTCGACGTGGCCACCGTCGACCGCAACACCGGGCGCCACATCTTTGTGGACTGGGCCGTGACCTGCGCACACTCAACCTGTGCCCCGCGCAGGCAGGCCCGGTCCCACAGGAGCGGCCTGGCAGCGGCCCAAGAGGTCGACAGCAAGAGGGATCGGTATCCTCCGCGGCAGGGCCTCGAGCTGGTCCCCATGGTCTTCGAGGCCGGGGGGCGGCCCTCCGAGGAGGCGGCGGCCTTCGTGCGCAGCTACGGCGCCGACCTCGGGGAAGACGAGCGGGGGGAACTCCTCGGCCGCTTGTGGCGGGATATCTCGGTGACCCTTCACAAAGGGAACGCCGAGATGGTGCTGAGCGCCCTCGGGCAGTAGTCCGCCACAGCCGCCACCGACGCGACCAACGCCAGAACGGCTAGCTGCTAACCACCACGAAGACCACGACCGCCAGCACGTCCACCACCTGCCCGACCAGCAGGCCCTCCGGCTCCACCAGCAGACCAGCCACTGGCACGGCCACCAGCGACCACCGCCAGCAGACCACCTCCAGCCCCGCCAGCAGACTGGCTACCAGCGCGCCCACCACCCAGCACGACCATCACCTGCACGGCCGCCCGGCAGCACGACCACCGCCAGCACGGCCACCACTACGACCACCCAGCACGACCCCCGCGACCATCACCGCCCCCCGTCCCCCGTCCCCCTCCCGCTCCCGCCCTTCCCCTGCCCTCTCCTGCCTCCCCTTCCCGCCGGGCCGCCCCTGCTGCAGCCTGTTCCTGTCGTGTCGGCTTTGTAGTCCCCGCCCTAGGTGTAATTCACGCTGGTTAATTCAAAGCCCCCCACTGTGTCCCCACGGGTCCCCTTGGCGAAGGGGGAGGGGGGCCAACTCTGGCGCCCGTGGGTCTTTCCGCCGGGAGGGAGGGAGGGAGGGAGGGAGGGCGGGAGGGAGGGAGGGAGGGATGGGCGGAGGGAGGGGGAGGGAAGGAGGGGAATAGGAGGGAGGAAGGAGGAGGAGAGGAGGGAGAAGGGAGGAGGGAGAAGGGAGGAGGGAGGAAGGGGGGAGGACGGAGAGGACGGAGGTACGGAGGAGCTGGACGGAGGACGGGGAACGGGAGGAGGAAGGAGGAAGAGGATGAGGAAGAGGAGGAGGAAGAGGGGCGAGGAGGGACGAGGAGGGAGGAGGTAGGAGGGAGGGAGGAGGAGGGGAGGACGGAGGGAGGGAGGAGGGAGGGAGGGAGGGTCCTCTTCCTCTCCCCCCTTTTCCTCCTCCATCCCCCCCCTCCTCCCTCCTTCCTCCTCCTCCTCCTCTTCTCTCCTCCCTCCTCCTCCGCCCTCCCCCCTCCTTCCTCCGTCCCTCCCTCTCCTCCCCTCCTCCCTCTCCTCCCTCTCCTTTTCCTTCCTCCTCCTCCTCCCTACTCTTCCCTCCTCGTCCTCCTCTTCCTCCTCCTCCGCCCTCCGCCCTTCGCCCTCCTCCCTCCTCCCTCCTCCGTCCTCCGTCCTCTGTCCTCCGTCCTCCGTCCTCCCTCCTTCCTTCCTCCTCCTTTCTCCCTCCTCCGTCGTCCTGTTCCTCCCTCCTCCTGTTCCTCCCTTCAACTGCACAAGCGCTGGGGGGAGGAGCAGCGCAAAGCGTTGGATGGTGGGAGGAGCAGCGCAAATCGCTGGATAGTGCCAAACCATGAAAAACATGAACAACGCAAGCGCTGGCAGCGCAAACCGCTGGAGACATAACAAACAATACAACGCTATGGGTGGCAGACATAACGCAATTGTTTCTTCTAGAAAATAGAAGCTCTAGAACAACTATGTTCGCAACGCGTTGTTCTTACACAAAAATGATTGGCGAAGCCAAGCATTATCTTCGACGTATCTTCTACATCTTCAACCACTCCAAAACCTATATTCGTATCTTCAGCCGCTGTAGAACCGCTTCAAAAACCCCAACCCTATCTTCCGTATCTTTCCACATCTTCAACCGTTGAAGATATGGAAGATCTGGCGGATCAACGTAAGCTCTGGAAGACTAACTTAATAGGTGTGATGCCAACTTACGATCACCTACCGGAACCTCACCTTATCTCTCATATCTTTTTTGACGAGATCAGTAGGACCCCATGCAGAGGCAAGCTCTGAGTTGGGAACGTACATGCATCCATCCATCCATGAATGCATGCCAGCATGCATGCGTGCATGCATGTATACACATACATACACACATACGCACATACATACATACTTACATACATACATGCATGCATGCATACATACATACATACACACATACACACATACATACATACATACATACATACATGCATGCATGCATGCACACATACATACAAACACAAATGTATACACGCATACAATCAGACATACACACATACAGACATACATGCATACATACATACACACATACATACATACATGCGTGCAGGCATCCATCCATCCATACACACATACAAACAGACATACACATACAAACAAACACATACATACATACATGCATGCATGCATACATACATACATACATATGCACAAATATGTATATCTATAGCTGTATATAGAATATACATGCAGAGTGATAACGAAACACAGCGAGAGAGAGAGAGAGAGAGAGATAACGCCGCGAGCTTGGACGAGTTGTTACGTGCTGCGTTTGGAGGAGGATTCCAAGGTCTGGGTGCCTTTGTGGCCACGGCTGGGCGCAGCTCGAACAATTTAACATGGTGGGCCCTGTGTGGTGTCCAGGGGTGCGGGTACATGTTGAGTGGATTTCGGACGAAGCAGGGTTCATTTACCTGGCGAAGAACCCAACTTTTTTTAACAGAACGGCGACTATACAAGGGACCGCTCAATCCACAAGAACACATTGAAGGTCCTGCTGTGTCCTTGCCAATGTTGCCGCATGCGGCCAGGTCGCGCACGCAGTCCCCCAATCACGCGTCCAATTTCACACATCAAATCGCAAATGGGACGACGACGGCGAACGCGACGCGGAGCAGAACGGGGCCAGGGAGAGGAGGACATATATTTTGCGGGACCCATGGTGGACGCCATGCGAGGGGGACGCCATGCGATCAGGCCCACTGGGGCCATGGGTGCAGCTCCCAATATGGGCACGAAACATATGGGGGGGGAGGGCGAAATGGGCGAGCGTGGGAGGGGTGTGCTGAAATGTGCGGTGGGGCGCCATGCGAGCACGCCCACTTTGGGCCAGATGTGCAGCTCCATGTGGGGCACGAAACACGTGAGGGGTGTGCCGGACGCCATGCGAGCACGCTCACTGGGGCCATATGTGCAGCCCCCAGTGGGACACGACACGTGCGAGTGGTGTGCCGAAAAATGGGCGGGTGTACGCCATGCGAGCGCGCCCGCTGGGGCCAAATGGGCTTGGACCGCGTGAGGGGTGTGCCGAAATGGGCGGGGGGACGCCATGCAAGCACGCCAAGTTCGGCCCTAGGTGCAGCCCCCAGTGGGGCACGAAATGAGTAAGGGGTGCGGCGAAATGGGAGGGGGTACGCCATGCGAGCGCGCCCACTGGGGCCAAAGGTGCGTGCAGCCCCCTTTGGGGCTTGAAACGTGTGAGGGGTGTGCCGAAAAATGAGCGGGGGGACGCCATGCGAGCACGCCCACGGGGCCATATGTGCAGCCCCCTGCAGGGCGCGAAACGTGTGAAGGGTGTGCCGAAATGGGCGGGGGGGGGGGCTATGTGAGCACGCCCGCCCGCTGTGGCCATGAGTGGAGCTCCTTGTTGTTATTGTTGTGGAAGAGGAGGAGGAGTAGGAGGAGGAGGATAAGGAGGAGCAGGTAAGAGGTAGGAGGTAGGAAATAGGAGGGAGGGAGGATGAGGAGGATGAGAAGGAGGGGACACGCGGCGCTGCGGATTCAACGTAGGAACCAACACAGAGGAGGGTGGGGAAATGGCATGGGAGGTGTCCAGGGATACATTTTGAATGGATTTCGGGCGAACCAGGATTAAGATCCATGACGCGTCGTTGTGATTTTGCGCTCTGCGCTAATTGTGGCACGCTGACGAACGGAAGAACTGTGTGTAAAATGCTCGAAGGTTTCCTGAGGCGATCCAGAGGACTCCCAAGAGACGACACGAGTGCACCAAGAGAGCCACGGAAGGCTTCCAGAAGGCCCCCAAGATCCTTGAAGAGACCCAAGACCTGACGGTGGCCTCAAGATGCTCAAGATAGCCCCAGAGCTCCCCAATACCCTTCTAGGAGGCTTGCACGGAGCCCCTGCGAGGCCTCACAAATAATGGGAAACATCAGCTTCTGCATTGTTTGCTTCAGCGATTGGTTTTCCTATGGTGACGCGCTGGTCAGGCTCCAGAGGCCCCTGTAAGCCTTGATAAAGCGCTCGCGCGGCTTTCATATGCTTCCGATCTGACCCCCAAGCGGGCACCTCAAAGCCCACGCAAAATCTCCAGGAAAGGAGGAGGACGACGGCTACGACGACGAAGACAACAGCGACCGACCACCACAACGACAACGACCACGTCTGCAGTGACCACGACGATCGCGACGACCATGACCACCGCGGCGACCACGACCAAGACCACGACCGGACCACGAACTTAACCACGCACACGACCACAGCGACGACCGTGACCACGACCACAACCAGAGCGTCGACCATGACCATGACCACTACCGCGACGACCTCGATTGGCAAGTCTCAAGGGTTGTGCGTAGACGGCTCCAAGAGGAAGTCGCGGCCCTCAACAGGCCCACAAGGTAGAGGTAGGGGGCGATCTCCACCCCTTGGACGCTCCGTGCCCCAGTGTTGGGATGTTCGGACCGCCTCCAGCGACTACCTTGTGGGCCTGCCGAGGGCCGCCAGGACTTCTCCCGGCGCCGCCCGCGTGCACCCCTGAAGATTTTGCCAGCGACGACCGCTGCGCCACCGAGGCCAGAGCCCCGCCAGCAGCTGGAGAGCCCCCCGCGCTGGTCCCCATCGGGCTCCTCTTCTTCCTCGGAGGCGCCGTCGGAGAACCACCGGCGCAGGAGCGCCGGCGCCGCGCTGCCTTGAGGGCCGCGGGGGGGCCTGCCTATCGATCTCCAGAGCGGCTGCTGCTGAGGGGTTCACGGGCGAACTTCGCAGGAGGAGCAGAGACCCCCGGCACCCAGAACCCATCGGAGGGGGCCCCCCCTGGGCGGTGGCACTCCTGAGCGTCTTCCAGGACCTGCTTTTCATCTGATAGCTAGGGTTGTCCCCAGCAGGCCGATCCGACTTGATGTTTTTCCAGCACCGGTTTTCCGCGCTGTCTTGGACGCGCCACTCGTGTTCGGAAAAACCATGCGGAGGGCCAGCTTGGGCTGCAGTGGTAGTAGCTTGAAGTTCTCGTCGTAATCGCAGTGGAGGTCGGGGTAGTAGTAACAGCAGTTCAGCATAGTAGAGTTGATAGTATTCCACAGCGCGATCATTCCCACCCACCCACACGTCCGCTCATAAAGCTTGAAATCCATCGTAACCCTTCGCATCATAATCCTCCATCTCTCTACCAGAGACGATGGCTGAATTGACTGCGCGCGTGCATGCGTCGAGTGCTACTGCCAGTCGACGCATCAAGGCCGCGCAAGCGGATTAGCACCAACGTCTGGCGATCATGAACGCCGGCAGCTATGATCGACGATATCTTTTTTGGCTCGACAAGCGACGGTGCCACGCGTCTGCTGCTTTGGCGGCGTCGTCTGCCGTCGCTAGCAGCGCGTTGTGTGTGTGTGTGTGTGTGTGCGTGTGTGTACCTCCTTCCTCCCTCCCCGCCTCCGTCCTGGGCTCCCCAGCTCCCTATCGACCTTCAGCATGCAACTGGTCACGACCACTGCAGCGCCCAGGAAACTCGTGGGCTCACCCGGCTTCGCGCTGGCTCCCCGCTGAGCCCCATCACCGACGCCGCCATGACGCAAACAAGAGAAGATGGGATCATTACGTCGAGAATTCTAGAGCCTCGGGCCTAGAACATTACGTCGAGAACTCTAGAATTCTAGAGAACTCTAGAATTCTAGGCTCTAGGGGACATGAAGTTGAGAATTGCGGATTTAACCTGACCTGAGGTTGTAGGGCCGAGGCCCTGCCGCGCCGCCCTGTCCAGGGCTAGAATGCACCTAGATCCGGTGGCCGCGCTCGCTCGCTCGCCGCTCCCTGGCCCCCCTCCCTTCCCTGTCGGTGTCTCGCCTTGCCCGGTCTGGTGCAGCGCCTCCCCCCTTCCCCTCGGCTTCCCCTCCCCCCGTTGGTCGGCCCGCTGTCCCTCGTGCCCTGTCTGTCTCCCCTCCCCCTTCCACCCGTCGCTCCTCGCCTCTCGCGTCTCTCTCTTCGATTGGCTCGCTGGCCCCTGGTCGCTCGAGTTAGGCCGGCCGGTGTTCGGCCTGCCTTGCTCCGTTCCCTGGTGCTCCACTCCCTCTTAGCCCGGCATTCGTTTGCATCGCCAGGCGAGCGACTTTGAGCTCTCGTGCCGCTTCGCGCCTCAGAAGCGTGGGACCACGAAGTGTGTGTGTGTGTGTGTGTGGACGCCCCATCCGTGTAACAGTTGAGACGCTTAATGCGAGTGGGCTCTGCGCTGATCTGAGAGCCACATGAAGAAAGCGACCCTCCTTCATCCGTGTAGCTGTTGACTGTTGGCATATATGCGACCAGCGTTAAGTGCGTCTTCGGATGATCCTAGGCGGAGTCCAAAACAAAAACTGCGACCAGCGTGCTCGACGAAAGGCGAGAGCCAGATGTTGGACGCGACCCGTGCTCTATCTGTGCAGCTTTTGACATGCATTGTGAAGGCCTTGCGGCCGGTGCCGCCGATCCTGAAGGCGGGACCTCCACAGGGACCCCGCTGGCGCTACCCCCCGAGACCCACGGGACCCCAGGAGGGGCGGTAGTTTGACCCGGGACCACCTCCCCACCATGCAGGACTTCTCCCGGGACCCCCCGCTGGGGACCCCCTGGCGGGGGTAGTCCCCTCGCCCTCCTGTCCACAAGGGGGACCCATTCCCCTGGGACCCACAAGCGCCCCAGGGGGGGGCGGCGTCCCGACCCAGGACCCCTCCCGCCCTACCCCTCCCCCCTCCCGCCCCCTTTTCCTTGTACCCTATTAGTGAACCCCTCCTGCGACTGGCAGCCAACCAGGACCAATGAGGATCCCCCCGCCATCCGTATCAAGAAACAATGTGAAGTCCACTTTGGGGCAAATTTTTGGGTGATGATCGGGGGGGCCGCGAGCACTTTGCTTGTGTGTGCAAAGTCAGCGCCTTAATTTAGTCATCAACCTCGCCCTTTTCTTGGCGTGCTCAACCGGAGAACTCCCTTTCTCTCCGCTTCTGCTCCTCGGTGCGCCGCTCGCGCTCCCCTCCGGCTCTTATGCTTCGCCCCCCTTCTCTATCCTTAGCCGCTCCTGGCTCCAATTGTCCGTCATTCGCTTGGCCCCCGGAGGTGACCCTCGAGGCTTTGGCATCGGACCTCCCCTCCTCTCTTCTTTGCCCCCCCCCCCCCTGCGCGACTGTCCAGGCCGTTGCGCCTCCCGCGAAAAATTCGCGAGAGTCCGGGCCCCCCGCGAGAAAGTCGCGAGAGTCCCGCGACAGATTGGCGTGAATCCTTCGCGCCGTGCACTGTCCTCTGAGGCGCCCCCCGGGCTACCTCGCCCCCGTGGAACCCCCCTGGGCGATTCGCGAGGGCTGTTCCCGCGCGAGACCACCCCGGGCGACTCGTGCAGGAACTGAGCGGCGGAGACCCCCCCGGGCGACTCCACCGCTCGGACCGACCCCCCCCGGGCGAGTCGGCCCGTCCTGGAACCCGCCCGGTTGCCTACGGGAAAAGCCCCCGCCCAAGCTCCCCCTTTTGAGGGAATTTTAGTGAGGGCGATCCGCGCCGTGGCGGCACTCGAACCCCCCGGGCGATCGACCGCGGCAGATCCCCCCCACATTAAAAAACACAAGAAAACACAACAAAACACAAAACAACACAACGCAACGCCCCCCAAAATACCAAACAAACACAAACATGCACCGGACGGAACATTAAAAAACACACATAAACACAAAACACATTCACACGCATACAGAACTTATTAAATTATGGCTCTGGCTTTGCACACCTAACTTTGCATTGTTTTCTGACAGGGACGGCGGGGGTGCCTGCATATTGCCTGCTGCGCGCAGGGCCAGCACCCTTTTCTTCAAAAAACATACAAGGTGCACTCCGAGGCAAAATCTGGATCATGCGCGGGCACCCCGCGATCGTTGTGCATAGGTTTTGGACTCGGACGGTGGGGGTGCTGGCATGTTGGTTGCTGCGTGCAGGCCCACCAAATGCTATGATGGCCACCCGGCCGCGATTGCGCATTCGTTTTCGTCAAGGGCGGTGGGGGCCGACACGCTTCCCGATGTGTACTGCCACTTGCGCAGGCGCACCTGGCACACTCTGCGCGTGCCCCGAACGTGGCGCACCGGGCGCGGCTGGAGCATGCGGCACACACGGCGCACCAGGCGTGTCTGGCGCGCTTGGGCCACAGGGGTGTCTGGCGCACCTGACGCGCATGGCGCACCTCGCCCAGCGCCATTAGCTGTCCATCCAAAAACAACCGCTGAACATGCTGAGGCCCCGGTGCTACTTATGTGTTGGGATGGCGGGTGGGAGTGAGCGAGACAGCTTGCGGGCGGGGAGGGCGTCTTGACCCCTCCCCTCTCCCCCCCTACCCTACCCCCGTACCCCTCCCGTCAGGGAGTGGAACAACGGGAGGCATCGACTCAACTATAACGTTTGTTTTGTCAGTTGGTTCCGTTTTCTCTTGGGACAGCGTCTCACACACGCCGAAGTGTTGGCGGATATTCGTTTAAACCGTGGGGCGGGAGTAGGTCACAGGACAAATGGCCAGACTCCCTTCGGACTCGTCTCATGAGGCGACGTGGACGGATTATTGTATGGAAGAGGGGTGGGGTGGGAAAAGGAGGAGGAGGAGCAAGAGCAGGATGAGGAGGAGGAGGAAAAGAGGAGGAGGAGGAAAAGAGGAGGAGGAGGAGGAGGAGGAGGAGGAAAGGGAGGAGGAGGACGGTAATTGTGAAGAGGAGGATGAGAGTGAGGAGGAGACGGGTGAGACGGAGGATGGAGAGGGAGAGGAACGGTGGTGGTGACGATACGCAGAGTGATGAGGAGGGAGATTAGGATTGGCTTGTGAGAGATATACGGGGAACGCGGAGGAGTAAGAGGATGTTGAGGAGGGGAGTGAAGAGGCGGTGAAAAGGGGGATGGAGGAGAGGTGGAGGAGAATACAGGAAGGGGGGGGCGGGGACGGGGGAGGTAGAGGGATAGGTGGGAGGGAGGGGGAGGGGCGGGAGGGATGGGCACGTGGGGAGCGGGGAGGGGGATGCGGATAGGGGGATCGGGGTAGTGGGAAGGGGGATGCAGGAGGGTGAGGGAATGGGGAATCAATGTTCTTGTGACGTGTGCAGAGTCTCACGTGTCGTCGTGTGGTGTGCAAGCGTTGGCATGGCACCGAGGCAGAGCGTTGGCAATGGTGATGCCCAGTAAGTTGTTCTGGACTGCGACCAGCGCGCGGAATGATACCACCAGTTAGCAGGAACGTACGGCAGGTACGTGTGCGGTCGTTCAAGGTTGAGTGCCGCCAGTGGCCTGGAACCGACCGGCATCGAACTATCCGTGCTGTCAGAAGGCCGCCGCGATCATTCAAGATTGAACGATCCACGCGGTGTCAGAAATTGATGCGCAAGTCGCCACGAAACGAACTTGCCGTATACAGTTTGAGTCAAGGTTTTTAGGCGGACAAACGATGAGTAGACCAATCAAGGAGGCGGACCAATGTCTTTTTTCGTGAGGACGGCAGGCAGGCCCCTCCTCTCCCCCAGGGTTTCCATCCATTGGGGTGTACTGGGTTCTAGCGGGAGGAGGGAGATGAGGAGGGGGAGGAGGACAGTGAGGATGCGGAGGAGGAGGAGGAGGAGGAGGAGGAGGAGGAGGAGGAGGAGGAGAAGGAGGAGGAGGGGTGAAGAGGGAGGTCTGCAATCGGGCCTTCACTAGGGATCGATACGACGGGCACGAACCGAAGCCGAACGAAACGAGGAGGAGGAGGAGGAGGAGGAGGAGGATGAGGAGGAGGAGGAGGAGGAGGAGGAGGAGGAGAAGGAGGATGTGCCGCCCGTTCCCGCGCGGCGGCAGGAGGCCCAGTAGCGGCCAGCGCAGCGAGAACAGTGGCACCCCCGGCAGCCCCAATGGCGGCCGCGCCGCCGACGACGCCGGCGCAGAGGAGATCGGAGGCCGCGGCCGGTCGTCGGATTCCTGGGGCCTCGAAAGCTTCGGCGTCGGTGGGTACCTTCCTGGGGGTCCAGTTCATCCCGTGCCTCCTTCCCTCTCCCTTCTGCTCTCCGTGGCGTGGGCGAGGGGGGTCCTGGTGGAGACGGTGCCTGACCTGGGGGGCTTTCGGCTGGACAGGTTTTTCGTCTCAGGTCGTCTCCTGACGATCTCGGGGCCCAGGGAGTGCTTCGGGAGGCCGAGAGCGGCGGAACTCGGGGCCTTTCTCATCCAGGACCCGTTTTCTGCATGCTGAGTCTTCCATGCCACGTGCTCTTTCCTCTCTGCTCCCTCCTCCCTAGTCCCACGCCCTGACCGGTTCGGGAGGCTGGGCATTGCAGTGCAGGCTTTGCTCACGAACACCGCTTCAATCCCAAAGAAAATTCCACTTCCCCCTTGTCGTCGTCGTCCTGCTCCTCCTCCTCATTCTCCTCGTCCTCGTCCCCCTAGGTAGGCCACTGCGGGCGGGGAGAAAGGCTTCTATCTTCCATGTAGGACACGGAGGACGTCCGTCCAGAGCTTTCAGACCAGCAGCTGCAGGATTGATGCGCGAGATGGGAGCATGTCAAAAGGCAGTGTGCTGCAACCACGAATGCGCGACATGAAACACAAGGTACTGCGGCAACGTGGCAGCATACCAGTTTTCGTGAAAACGTAGCCTGGAAGTCAATTTATGTTGGCCATCGCCAATGTGCGTGCGGTTTGTAGCAACCAGGGATTGTCCGCTGCGTATTTGAGGTTGACATGATGGAACACATTCACAGCACACCCACCACATGGAGCGTGGTGAGTCAGTGACGCCCACCGTGAGGCACTTCACATTACGTTGCGGAGTGCTAGCGACTGTGGAGGCGACTCGAGTGAGACCCAAGTGCCGAGATCTAGACATGCGGTACGCGAGCTTGTGGTCAGAAAGCGCATCTCGAGGTCCGTGGGGGTAAGGCCATACTCTGCGCATCCGTGAATACCATACGCGAGGCAGTCCAACATGGCATGGCCACAAGATATACCAGCAGGAACTCGAAATCATAATCCATGCATCGGCGACGCCACGCCAAACCTATAGAGCTACACGCTCGGTGTTCCAAGGCGTAGGCGCCCAGCTAGCCGAGGAGGGTATCTGCCCCCGTCGCGTCTTCGACCCCGAGGCCGACACACGCCGCTGCTGGGGATGCCTCGGCACCAGGGGCGTCAGCTGCGCTCCGACCTGCTCATGCGGACGGGCTCTCGCGGACGAAAGGGCTTGCCCTGTTTCTGGCTCAGGCGCCTCACGCTGGGCAGCTGGACCCACGTGGGTGTCCTCCCGCGGGCTAGGACGAACTGGCTTCCGTCGGCCGGGCGGTCGCGGAGCGCTTCCGGACCCTCGCACTCCGCGTGTGGCAGGGGCTACGGCTTTCCTCGTAGTGCCGCCTGCGACGTTCGGCGCTCTTCCCTGCAAGGGGGCATGGGTGTCCCGATACCTGGGCGTGACCAGACTGACTTTAGTCAGCGGCTGCAAGAGGGGCAGACGGCGGTCGAGCAGCGGCGGGTCGCGCCGAAGCACAGCGAGGCACAGAGAAAAGGGGGACGCGCCGAGGCGCGAGGCGGCCGGAGAGGCCAGGAGGGCGAGGGAGCTACATTCGGGCAGTGAAAGTCTGCGCGTGCGCGCCGAGGTTGCAGGTCCTTGAAGTACAGGGCGAGCATGAGGGCGGAGCTGAACATGGAGCCCCTGGGGGAGCCGGCAAGGGTGAGGTTGTCGGGCGTGGCCAGACAGTGAACAGGGGGGAAGGCTTGGGCCTTCAGACGTTTCCTTGCACGGGCTCCGCCTCACGAGGTCAGGCTGCAACGTAGCATCGACTCTCAAGCGCATGCGACGTTACATCGCGGACTCCGTCTACGTGGTCAGCGGTCAACGGCCAGCAGCTTCAGGAGGCTCTTGAAGGGGAGGTTTCCCGCCACGCGCATGGACGTCTGGTTCGCCATCAGCGGTTGCCTTGGGCAGCGGGCCGCCTGTCATCGCGGAGCCCGGCGGCGCCCAGCGGTGCCGGGAGATGTGCCCCCCCCCTCTCTGTGCGATCGAAGTGGGGATGGCAAGACTGGGTACGAAGGCCCACAGCAGTTTCGGCCCACTTCGAACAGGATTCATTGTCGTTGTCTCCGCGGGCGCTGTTCATTTGGGCTCAATGTAATCTGCCCAACAGCGGCAGCTGTCGGTCTTGGCCGACATTTGCTGTTGGGCACCGTCCTCATTTGTCCATCCCAATTGTGGGCCTTGCAGTGGCCAGGCAAAAACCAACCAATCTTTATAAGTGGTTGGTTCATGTTGAGGCGATGCTGGAACCAGAGATGCGCCATGGTGCACGCCAGGATCGCTCTCTTTCAGCTGGAGCCACACTTCTCGGCCCACGGTGCAGTGGAGCAGGGCATCGGCCCACATTTTTGCCTGCTCTGGCTGATTCTGCAGACGGTTCCTTCGTCGTAGATGCATGCCAGGTCTCGAACATAGACCGGCCTCTTTCTGTGCTTTGACAGTTGGCCGCATCCTTCAAGGCTAGTGCGGAAGCCGACCGTCATCGCCTGAAGCGTGCTCGAAATCCTGCCCTGGGCAAACGCATTCACAAACGGCTACATCAGTTGGCGGAGCACTCACACAGTAAGTTTACGAGTGTCTCAGCCCCGCTATTCGCCTGCCCGACCTGTGGGTTTAGTGCGTCGCGGGTGAAGCTCGAAGACTTCGTGATACTATCTTCGCGAAGTCATTCAACCACGTGCGTTGGTGCTGTGGGGCCGCCAGTTGCACCACACACCACACCCACCTCGCGCATGCCGCTGGTACAGACACGGTATGGTCCCTGAGTCGTGGGTGCTGCGCGACCGATGCAGCAGTGCGATCCCACGACGCCCCCTGCAAGGAGGTGCGCGCACGGCATGGGCAGCAGATCTTGGCTTGGATTGCGAGCGGCAAGCGTCATGGCTTCACTCGTGCGGCCCGTCAACAGGAAGGAGTTCAGAGGCGCCGTGCCGTCAAGCAAAGCTCCCTCCCCCTCTTCCGTCACCCTGTGGAGCCCTCTCTCCCTCCCCCCTCCCCCGCGCGCGGTAGCGCTGGCACGCGGGGACGGACAGGAACAGAAGGAGGAGGGATGAGCAGGAGGCCGAGGAGGGATCAGGGCGGCACTCTGTTATTCCCTATAAAATGCTTGCACTTAGGGTTTCTTATTCCTCCTCTAAGGAACTCTGTCTGTCTGTCAGTCTGGCGGCTGTGTTGTCGCCGTCGCCATCTCGTTGCCGCCCGTCGCCTAGGCCTGTCTGTGGGCCGCCGCGTTTGTTGTCGCCGTCGCCGCCTCGTCGCCGCCTCGTCGCCGCCTGTTGTCTGGGCCTGCCTTTCGGTCGCCACGCTTGTTGTCGCCGTCGCCGCCCTATAGCTTCGCATTGCTTTGCGTTGCCTTTCATTGCCCTGCTTTGCATTGCTTTGCATTGGTTTGCGTTACGTTGCTTTGGCGACACAGGTTGCACCACAGATATTGCACCACCTAGATGTCACCCAGATCTCATACATATATTGCACCACATATGCTGACCACCGATCTTACACAACCTCGACTGCACACCATAGACTGCACAACCTGTATTGCACCACGAATAATTGTTTCACATAAACTGAACAACACAAATCGCACCACCTAGATTGAACCATCTCGACTGGGCAGCACACAATTTGCAACATATAGTGATCTGCACTTCATACAGTGCACACGTCGGTTGCACCACCTAGGTTGCACCGCCGGTATGGCACATCATACGATGCACACCATGTATTGCACTTCGTATATGGTACATCAAAGACTGTACAGCATGGGTTGCACCACTTTGACTGCTGCACCAATACAGCACCACATATGTCACACCACACGCACACATTTATAGATGGATGTTGCTCATCATAGTTCGCGCCGTGTATATTGCGATTGCGCAACCATTTATTGCACCACCTAGATGGCGCAGCATATCTTGCACCAGCCATATGGCTCCACATGCATTGCACGACATCGATCGTACGCACCACACTGTTTGCATAACATAATGTGGGCACTACATAGTGATCATAATCTATGTGTAAACACATGTATATAAATATATTTGTAGAATGCGCAGCATAATTTGCAGCACATAGGTGGTCCCACACATATTTCACCATACATGGCTAGAGCACACACGCACTGCTTGGGGTCCACGCTGTCTAACATATTACGATATGCGCGGGGTTGCTGCTTGGCAGACCGCTTATTATCACACTGCCCAAATCGGAAACTTGGTGTTTGGAGGCTGTCGCCTCCTGTGGCGCGACTGCACTTCTCGCCCTTCTTTGGAGGGCGCATGGCGTACTCATTTCAGTGCTCGGGGTGACTGAATCGTGCAGCATCCAAAATCCGCCGCACAGTTGGCATTCAAGGACGCCTCGCAGTACAGCGAGCTGGTGGGATGATTGACGTTGATCAGCTAACAGGTGGTCCAGAGCCCCCCCCCACACAACCCAGACGGTCGCTCGGGATCGCCGATATTCTACGTCTCCCCGGCAGGCAAAGACGGAAGGCGCTGCTGGACGAGGCACCTTGGCTTGCATGGACCAGGCCAAACCTCGCATAGCTTGCTTGTCAAGTTAAACCTCTTAGCACGTGCCACATGCGGATCAATGTAGGACTCCCTCTCTCTTGTGGGTCCCGCATCCTGTATCACGCAACTCGCAAACACGCTCAGCATAGTTAGTGATCTGGTTCTGGTATGCTGGGACATCCGTCCACCCCGCTCACGCTCACAAGCAACAATTGCTTCACGCTGCACAGCAGGCAACCGAGGTCAAACCACGGATGACCAAATCACCGGCCTGGTGGGTCCGAGCCACGTCATCACCCGACACTTGCACAAGCAGCAGCCTCAGCGACATAGTCAGCTGCATGGTTTAACCAACTATCGACTGGTGACAACCACATGTTCTGGTTTGGGGTGGGATGTCTTTTAGTCCATGACACGTTTACGGAACCGCCACGCCCCCCCTATCACGCGTTGATATTTAGCCCAGAGATCCAGCATATTAGACTTAGACTTGGCCTTCAGGGACTTGCGGACATCATTGACCACCGTCAGACAGTCACAACAGATCCGTGGATGCCCTGCGGCATCTTCAGAACAATCATACTGGCGTACAACTCTCCACGCGGTGAAGACTGACGGTGGTAGGCAGACAACTACACAACATTGCGTCGAACTGGCCAGCATGACCGAAGTGGGAAGCGGACTCGCGGACCCGCCGCACCTGCGGAGCCGCCAGTCCTTAGAATGCTTGCCACCCGATCCATCGATTCCCCACGTGCTCCCGTCGATCTTCGGACCCCTAACGAAGCGGTCCCACTCCATCACCACCGCCTGTGGTGCAGGCAGGTGGCTACATGAGGCAGCTAGCGGAGCAAGGCCACGATATCATTGGTAGGATCTCTCAGGCTCGACGCGCACGCGCTCAGCCAGGGGATCGGTTCGGTCCACGACCTGATCGGGAATTTGCCGACTGCGATTACAGCCAGAACCGATGTTCAGCAGCCTCCACTGAGGCACCGCACCGTGGGCAAAGGCCGCTCGTCAGCGAACGGTAGCATGCCTTGACTAGACGATCTCCAGTCCTGAAAACCCGCTGTGATGGCACTACTTTGGGATCCCGGCGAGGGATCAGGAGGAGGCAAGAAGGAGGGGAACGCTTTTCTCCTGCTCCATCCTCCCGGTGGTGGTGGTGATGGTCGTCCTTGCCGTCGTCGTCTCTTCCTTTCTTCCCCCTCCTTCCATCAGGAGCGCTCCTTCCCGCTTCTTCCCTTACCCCCCTAACTGCTGACAGGCTCCCATGTTAACCAGCGTCGAAATCAACAAAGAACAATCTCCCCCTCCATTCATCAGGAGCGCTCGCGGTCCATCGCCCGTGACCCGCTGGCGAAGCGGCTGAAGCTCGACCGCCCCGCGCCGCGTGGCAGGGACGCGGGCGGCCAGCAGGCATTTTGCCCGTCGTCGTCGCTCGTCGTTCGCTCGTCGTTCGCTCGTCGCCGCCGTCGTCGGGCGTCGCCGCAGCCGTCGTTGCTCAGAGAAGGCAACGGTACGGATACCGCTGCCCGTTCTTCGGTTTCCCTCTTTTGGGCTTCCTGGGTGGCCCTCGTCGCCACCGTTGGAGTCGCCTCGAGGTCCCGGTCAGAACGCGCCCCAGGAGAGGACTGGGGAGCAGCCGCATCGGTACCTTTGGGTTTCCGCAGCGTTTCTCTGTCTCCGTCTCGTCGTCGGGAGGAGGTGGTGGAGGAGGAGGAGGAGGAGGAGGAGGAGGTGGAGGAGGAGGAGGAGGAGGAGGAGGAGGAGGAGGAGGAGGAGGAGGAGGAGCGGCAGGAGCAGGAGCAGGAGCAGGAGCAGGAGGGAGAGGGACAGGGGGGGTGGATGGGTGGGGGGGTGGGGCAGGAAGAGGAGGATCACAGTAAACCTGCAACACGCCTCAGCGTCCCAAGTTTCCCGCCGTGGATCCTTACACCCAGTTCGACTAATTCGGGACCCCCCCTTTGAAGACGAGAGCCCCACGGGCTTGAAGCCCGTTTTTGAAATGAAGTCATTTATATTTGTTGCAAAGACAAGAAATGACACGGGGATAGTCAGACAGTCAAGAGAAATATCAATCGATATTTCCGCTCTGAAAATTGGCAACCCTCCATCCGTGTGACTGCTCGCGGGCTTGATCTTCTGACCAAAATGATAAGGGGGGCCCGCAAGACCAAAGTCTTGAAACGAAGCAGCCCTTCACCCGTGACGCCATTACACAAGCTTAAGTTGCCGAACATGTAACTTGAAGACGTGCCAAGCGAGAGCAGCCTGCCACCCATCTTTGTAGTGTTGGGCATGCTTGAGGCGAGTGTGCGCGGCGCTGTGGCGAGAGACTCATGTTGAAGTCCACCCGCCCTCCATCTTCGTAGTTGCTGGAAGCGCCTGTTACGACAGTGCGCGGCGGTAGGGCGAGTTCAGTTTTTCGTCATTCACCCGCCCTCCCTACTTGTGTTTGTCGACAGCGCCTGGGACGAATAGGTGCGGTGCTATGGGGATGGCCCCATGTCGACGTCCACCCGCCATCCATCTTCATACTTGTAGGACGAGTCACGATTCAGGCGACACGCCCAGCCCGCCCTACCGAAACGCCTGGTGGTGTGAGGAGGAGGAGGGTGAGGGAGAAGGCAGATGAGAAGTACTGCTCAAGGAAGAGGGAGCAGAGAGGTGAGGAATGGAGGAGGGATGTGATGCTGCTGACGATGATAATGACGATGCGACTGCTGCTAATGATCATTTTAGTGATGATGGGGATGCTGCTGTTGATGAATTTACTGATGATGGAGGTGGTGGCGGTGATGATGATGATGATGATGATGCTGATGATGGTGATGATGATGATGATGATGATGATGATGATGGTGAGGAGGAGGAGGAGGAGGAGGAGGGATGTGGAATTCAGCTCTATGTTGCCCCCCTTCTGTGTTCCAATTTCGTTTCGGAATAATGCTTTCCCCGCACCAGTGCTCTTTGATATCAAGCCGGTTTGAGGCTTCATTGCTTACCGTAGAGATTGACGGGAAACTATTATTTCTTTTGTGTGGTTGCCGCCATTCCGCCGCCGCGTGCACCAGGAGAGGAGAGCGACCCCGTTTCTGCAGTGGTAGCGGAGCTGCCAAACTCCGCGGACGGCGCCATCGAGTGCCGCAGCGAGAAGATGTTCAAGGACAGCGAGGAGCTGCAGCACGACATGGCGCTTATCAGTACGACAGAACAGCAGCAAGACGACATCTCCGACCATAATGTGTTCGAACACACTTATGACGAGATGGCGACCACCTGAAAAGGAAATGAAGGCCAAGGCGCACGTACGCCCGTTAGAAGGCCGATGATGGGTTCGCATGGCGCGGACGGTTTTCTCCTTTAATCCTGCTTTCGCGCGGGGGATGGGATGACCAGAGACACTACGGCCGTGTTCCAGACTCCTTCGGCAAGTATTTGGAGGGAATCTCGACGTGGGACGGAATTGTTATGAGGTGGCGGCGATACAAACAAAACGTGGCCCTGTGGCTGGAGGGAATCAACCCAGACGCGAATTTCTCCCGTGCTGTGAGAGAGGTGAGGTGCCTGACGGGGCTCGCGAAGACGCTGGCCGAGAGCATTGCGATGGGGGCCTGCGTGCTGGAAAGTGGGAATACGACGAGGAGACCGTGGAGTGGACCGACCCAGCCTTGATACAGGGTATCAAGCATTTGATGGAGGTGCCGGGCTCCATCCGCACGGACGAGCAAAGCCGCAAAGGATCAGTCATGACCTGCTTTTGCAAAGTGCTGACGAGGCGACCGGGCGATGAGATGAACTGCCTGGGCGATTAGATGCGGCGAAGCAAAATCCCAGCTCGACGAGGAAGAAGTTGGTCTACCAGGTACCGGCAGGCACTGTTGGGTGGTGCCTCATAGACAGGACAGGATTCACCGAAAATCAGAAGAGCATGCTGACGACCGCGGCGGGAGGAGACCTTACCCTGGCGATTGCCGGCTCTGACCAAGATCTACCCGCAGGTGTACATGGCGAACAGATGTCGGACACCGTGGATGCCATGCAACAAGCCGACCGCCAGGCGGGGAACGGCACCAGGAAAAGGACAACACCAATGAGCGGATATTTCGGAAGTTCTGGGAGGCTACTGTCGTTGCGCGCGTGGACGAGCTGGGCGGCTTGTCGGAGGATGAGCTCCAGGCTCGAGGCTTTGGCGGTCGAGTTGGACAGTGATACGGACGGCACGACCCATAATGTAGCCCTGGAGACCGCGCGTGACTATGTCGACAGACAAAATCTGGAACAGCGCTTGACCAGCGAGATTGAGGCCCGGGCTGTTATGCTGGATGGTGGAGAAGGTGCACCAGAGCGGGCCCACGAACATGCGAACCCTTCGAAGGACTCATCAGAGTGAGGGAGAGCAAGAAACGCGTGAAGGAACTGAGAAAGGGTCGAAAGTGCGGGGGGTCAGGCGCTCGGGAACCAGAAGGAGTTGGCAAGGGCGCAGCCGACAAAGAAGATTGCATTCAGAAGGATGCGCGCGCGACCGTGCCACCCGCGTGGTGGATTAGGCCACTGGGCCGGCAACTCCCCCTGTCTCAAGATCGACGAGCGGCGCCAGAAGCATCGGGAGGGAGTCGCTCACCGAGAGGATCGACTAGGAGAACGTCGCCGATTTCATGGAGAATCTGCCCATGGAGTGCTGGCTGCGCGAGTGTGGGGCTCTGGTTGTGGAGAACGCGCTGCTGTCGGAGTCCATCGGCGGGGAGGGCGACGCGGGCGCTGTTCGCTCAGCCTGTAAGCCGACGGTCAGTTGCGATGAGCGGGCAGACAGGTACGAGGACAGATGTTAGAAGTATTTCCCCGAGAAAGACATTGCGGAGGGACCCCTGCTGCGCGCGCGAAGGTTCGGGGGCGGTGAGAAGATGGTGTTCCGAGTGAAGTGGGCCGGACCGGCGTCGATGATCAACGTCGACGTGAGGATCAGGCATGCAGTTCTGGCTGATTCTAAACTGCAGCTGCTTGTCGGCAATGGCGCGCGCAAGGAGCTCAGCCTGATTGCGCATTTCGAGGCGGGCGAAGCGAGCTCTCTGAAGTTGGGGGTCGAACCGACGAGGCTCAGACAAACAACGGTGTCCCGCCAGTCGATCGACGTGATGCCCTGGGCTGGGTGGAGCCGCCAGTGGGCGACGGTTCAGGCGCCGTGGTGGCTTTCAAGCAGGGCGCATGCGAGGCGTTGATGGTGCCGCGAAGTCCCGGGCAGGAGATCTCAGACGAGAATTCCATGGCTGCAAGATGGTGACGGTGAAGGCCTGGGCGAGGGCATGGAGAGCTGGCGGCTCTGCGACGCGTCGTCTGGGAGATATGTCGAGGAAGACAACGAGGGGGGCCGCGCGAGCTGGGGGATGGCAGGCGACGATCAGCATCCCAAAGAACGGGGCGATCAACCACGGGCGTTTCGGGATTGTCCGAGCCCTTCCAGCGCGTCCCCGACGCAGGCTCGAGCTGCCCAGGCGCCGGCAGAGGGCCCGTCGAAGACGAAGGCGATGGCGATCGGGGGGGCCAGCTGGAGCTCATCGACAAAAGGGCTCTGCTGACGAAGTTGCCCAGGTCGAGCCTGGCAGGGGTCGCCCGGGGCGATGCTGGGCGCCGCGGGTAAGTCGAAACACGCTGTGGGCGACGTTCTGACGGGCCCCAGTTTCAGGGCGTTCGCCTGCGAGATGACGCGGCTAGTCAGCGCCCGTGCGCCATCGAACAGGTCGAGGCGGCGGCCGCAGTAGCAAGTCAGATCGACGCAGAAGTGGCGCATCAATCGGAGCGAGATCTGTTGGCCACGGAGATCCCGAACGGACGCTGGGACATCGAGGTGCTGTTCGCGGACCAGGATGGCGAGGGGCATGAGGGGCGCCATCCGGCGAGGGCAAAGGACTGCGCTCCACGGCGAAAGGAGAGCGGGCGCGTGGCATGGCAGGAAGACGCTCGGGCGAAACGCCTGCGCGGGGGCGCGTCGGTGATGCGCGCGAATCGAGGGGGTCGCCGTGGTCCCCCCAGCGGAAGCGGCGGGAGCCAGGCGCGGCCGTCGCCGAGGCCGGGGGCGGCAGAGAAGGCGGGCGCGAAGGCGGGAGTGAAGGAGTTGGTCCGCAGTCAGCTCGGCTTTTGGGCCAGAGATCTGGGGGCGCGCGGGATCAACCAGGCGGAGGCGCTGGGCGTCGTGGGTGGATTTTTGCCCCGGGGGGCCGAGTGCGAGGCCGTCTTGGCGGAGGCGGCGGGCGCGACGTCACGGCTGCGAGAGATTGCTGCGACGAGCGAGGGGGCGCGCCAGTGGGCGAAGAAGCGCGGGCTGTGGATGATGAGGGGCATGCCCATCGTTCTTGGCCAGAACACCAGGGGGCCCTGCGCGAGGTGAGGGGCCTAAGTTGCCGGCGATCGTTTTCCCT